ATTCTTCAAACCATTGTGGGTAATCCCAAGAGCAATCCTACTGTACTTTTTTGCTTGCACACAGAGATGCTATGATAACAGGAGTATCAGCCTGTATTTTCAATTAGCTGAAGAAGATTACTCTGAGTGGAGTAAAGAAATTGTTTCAACACTGTCTCTAGGAGCAGAATTCCACTAGCCATCTGTAAGACGCTAGAATACTAAAAAGTTTATATCATCGCACAGTTTCTCCAACTATGACTTCAGAAGCATATGAAGTTATGTTTAAAAACAGCATTGGGTTTTCTTTTATAGGTCCTGTAAGAAAATGTAACCACAATTATGAAGATTATTTAATATTTCATTCTAAATGTCTAAAACATAGTTTTATCAATGGCTAGTCAGTTAAGAAGGCCAGATACTGAAGATGAAATGCAAATACTTTGGCCACCAATTAGAAGGAAGGACTCACTGGAGGAGACCCTAATGCTGGGAACAATTGACGGCAAAAGAAGAAGGGAACGGCAGAGAATGAGGTGGCTAGATGGAGTCACTGAAGCAATTAGTGTGAGTTTAGGTGGACTCTAGGGGATGAGGACAGGAAGGCTTGGAAGAATGTTGTCCATGGGGTCGCAATGGGTAGGACACGACTTCGTGACTAGCAACAACAACAGCAACAACAGTCAGTTAAGAAATATTCCTTATAACCAGAGACACTCTATATGTGGGAAGGCTATATATGAAGATAATTGCTGACACACTACTTGTTGAGCAGCTGCCTTTAAGGACATAAGACATAAATATCCAGTGCACATATGAGAAATTGTTATTTGTCCCAGAAAATTGAACTTCTGCCAATGGACACATTATTGGCAACCCCCTTTGCTTGTATGGCAGCACATGTATATAGCAACTTATTTCCTATACATATAAATTGCTGGGGTTTTAAGTGTTTCATTCCTTTTGTAATTAATAGGTTTGTTGCGACTTATGGTATAAGCAAATAATTGTTATTAGTTACACAGACACATTCAGTATGACTACTGTTATTTGAATCTATATCATTGTATCTATAATCTACACCGCTGGAATTCATAATTAATCTTTTACTGTAATTGTAATTAAAGCACATTTGAATTTAAAAGAAAACCCCCAATTTTTCTGCCACTTTGTTGTACAGTGACTCAGAAATAATTGCTTGTGTGGGATAATACTATGAAAATATTTTCCTCACTTGGGAACTCATGGTCTCTGGAATCTGCTTCTACAGCCCAACTCTGAGCAAAAAATATGTGGACAAAAATAAAGTGAAAAAGAAAAATGGAATATAAAACAATTTATTTCCATTGTAAAGATGATATCACTATTGTTGATATTTTGTTATATAGAATTTATATCATTTTTGAACATTAACAAATAACGCAGATAGCCACTTACAACTAACAAATGAATACATAATTTATCTTTAAAAATGACAAACAAGATAATGTAAAAACATAAATTTTGATTGTCATGTCAAAACAGAAATTCAGTGGAGTCTGACACTTGCTGAGTGAGAGCAAGTATTCTGAAAGTAGATTTCCCTAATACAGAATTCCAACATCTGAGTGAAAAGGCTCTCTCCCATACACCCAACAAACTAAGCTCTGGTAGTTGATTTTGATTACTCTCTGAAAGTAAGTTGAAAATTAATTTGCCTAGTATCATATGCATCAGATCATACTCCATTTTCATCAGAAAAAATCCAGTGAAAATTACACTCATTTGTATAGCCTGCATCAGAAAATTTTCAGACTAGGGATATGTTCTAATAATAATAATAATAATAATAATAATAATAATAATAATAATAATCTAGCATATTTAGTCTGATAGAGATGACAGTAAGTGTCTGAAATAGAGGCTCATAATCATCCAATGAAGAGGGGAAGGAGTGGCAGAGATACACTTTGCCTCCCCTCAAAGGTATCCCCACATCAAATGTATTACAATAGTCCCACCACAGTGTAACTAAAGTTATGTGTGACCTTGACATAGTTCTCCACTGCTAGGAACAGGCACAGTTGGTACAACAGACAAAAGTTGTCTAGAACACAACCATCACCCGTCCTTTCAAAAGTAAAGCCGGTCTCAGTAGTACCTTACCTAAAACCTGACACCTTAACATCATTGCTACTCCATCCATAGCAGGTTAAAACCTTATTCAAGAGCATGTATATCTTGACTGGATTAAATCTAGACTGGTTCAAATCCAGTCCATCACTGATTTCTGACAGCAAACAGGACTTTCGAGACACCACAAGAAGTTGTTGAAAATGAAAAGATGCAGTTTGAAAAGATGAAACATTAGAAACCAGAAGTCATTGTGTAAATAGGAGTTTGCAGCATTGTCTTCTTAAACCTATCCCTCAAGAAGGGCTGGAACAACTGCAAAATGGTGTCCCTTAGCTCTAACCCAGATCTCTGGAAAGGTCTGGATTTCTGATATAGAAAGTAGCTGAAAGATCCTGCAGAATAATTCCCCCCATGCAGTTCCTGAAGTAGAAAATTACACTCATTTTCATCGACCATGGTATCCTTCTGGATAGGCTAGCGGGATTGGGAGTTGGAGGCACTTCTTTGCAGTGGTTCCGCTCCTATCTCAATGGCCAATTCCAGAAGGTGATGCTGGGGGACTATGGCTCTGCGCCATGGCAGCTATGCCATGGAGTACTGTAGGGATCCATTTTGTCCCCTTTGCTATTCAACATCTACATGAAACCGCTGTGAGAAGTCATTAGGAGGTGTGGGCTGCGGAATCACCAGTACGCTGATGATACCCAGCTCTACCTCTCATTTTCTACCAATCCAGGTGAGGCAGTGGCTGTACTGAACCAGTGCCTGGCCGAGGTAATGGGCTGGATAAGGACCAATAAACTGAAGCTCAATCCAGACAAGACGGAGGTCCTGTTGGTTGGCGGATTGGGCTTCAGGGAAGGGGACCTTGACCTAGTCCTGAATGGGTTGCACTCCCTCTTAGGGACAAGGTTCGCAGCTTGGGAGTGCTCCTCAACCCAGAGCTTTCACTGGAAGCTCAGGTGACAGCGGTGGCGGAGGAGTGCTTTCTTTCAGCTTCGGCTGGTCCATCAGCTGTGTTCCTTCCTGGAGAACGACTGTCTGGTGACACAGGCACACGCGTTGGTGACTTCCCGACTTGACTTCTGTAATGTGCTCTACGTGGGGCTGCCCTTGAAGACGGTCCAGATACTTTAATTGGTTCAAAGTAGAGCTGCCAGGCTGCTGACGGGGACTGGGCGTTATGTTCACATGACTGCAGTTCTCCGTCAGCTTCACTGGCTCCCCATTGAAGTCCGGGCCCAATTCAAGGTGTTGGTTATGACCTATAAAGCCCTTAACAGCTTGGGTCCTGTTTACTTAAAGGAGCGCTTACGTCCATATGTACCCGCCCACCTCTTGAGATCAGCAGGAGAGGTCTTTCTCCGGGAACCCTCTGTGAAGGATACTCTCTGCGGTGGAGCCCAATCTATGGAATGCGCTCCCCAGAGAGGTCCGCCTGGTGCCATCGTTATTTGTTTTTCGGTGCCAGGCGAAGACCTTTTTATTTAAAAGTCATTTTAATTGCTAATATTATTTATTTATTTTACATCTTTGGCCAGGACGTCTCCAATTATATTGTTTTTATATTGTTATTATTTATTTATTGTTGTGAGCCGTCCCGAGGCTTCAGTGAATGGGGCGGCATAGACGCTTTCTAGATAGATAGATAGATAGATAGATAGATAGATAGATAGATAGAATGCTCACTAGGATAACCAATGCCACCAATTCCAAATTGGAATGGAAACCAGACAGAAGCAGATCCAGAAAATCAACATCATACAGGAAAACATGTAATTGGATTGCCATTGTACATTTGAGCACTTTGCCCATGAAGTGTAAACTTTCCAGCAGTTGTCTAACATGGAGAAATCCAGAGAAGAATTTTATTTCAAAAGATCCAACTACTGGTCCTTTGAAGGTTCTGATAACAAGGTCTTCTATGAAAGCACTGACTGTACCATTACTGTGTTCGACTGGATTACTAAATAAGTAATTCTGACTTGATGCTGAAAAGCCTTTCAAAGATTACGAAATAGAGAACAGACTTGAAGTATTTAGGGTAGGAATGCAGTATGGGAAATTGCATAGAATATTTGTGAAGATAAGGTACAAAACACAGGCTTTGACTTTTTTTCACTTGCTCAGATTCCTTAGTCTTCTGCAGCAAAGAAAATTAATGAATATTTGAAAATACATTCATACATTCAAGCAGCAAACTAACTTATGACATAACTTAGATTATTTCACAAACAATCCCTTTCAAAGAATCAAAAGACTTTGATACTTATTAAAGAAATAGCATTGGATTATATTATTTGGAATTTTTTACTAAGATGGAATAGGATTTCAGTCATTATTAAACATGGGTTCAGTATGACCTAATTTTGCCTTCAGTGGTATGTACTGGACTATTAAAAATTTCAGTGCTATTATAAAGTTAAAATGAACAACCAAAAGAATTACTTTTAAATAAGGTTACAAGGATATTTATTTTTTAAACCTGTCTCTGCAAATACATATTCTGTTTCAACACAGTAATGCCAATTTACAGACTGTTTCCAAAAAGAAGTTGATACTTCCTACAACATTCTATTTATTTATTTCCCCTGTATTTTCCAGCTAGTAAAAACTAAGGCATATTTAGGCTGAAATCCTACATGCTAGAAATGAGTATTATTGAATTTAATGGGATTTACTTTTAAATAGACACACAACACAGCACTCCAGCTCAATAACAGGCAAGTATTATAACTAAGTTTAAGTTTGACTCAAAAAGCAAATATTGCCTATATTTCAATGTTTCACAACGTTTCTATTTGCATCATCCCTTCCCTCAAAAATTGGTGGGGGTGAGATTTGTCTCATGATTAAACATTTACAGAAATGTTTCATCTCCATCCAGACTTATGTTCACAGCTTACCACTTCATAATCTTCACTGTCGTAAAGGTACATATCTTGGCCTTTAGGTGCTCACAGTTGTCCGTGTCCATATATTCCTGGAGATCTTTAATGTTTTCTTAAAAGTCTACCATCATAGCAATACAATTTCTACAGCAGGGATAGAGAGGTCGAATACTTCTTTCCCACGCTCAAAATGGTCTTTAAAAGTTGCTCTCCGACACAAAAACAAAACCTCTTGCTGTAGGCAGTTAAGGAAATGATGATTTGGCAAGCTGTTCCACTGAAGGAAAAAAATCTACCAACAAGGAAAGGCAGCTGCAAATATGCGTTATCTTAATCCACTTCTATAAGTGGATAGCTTGAAGCAAGGGGGTGAGTATTCATGCTAATTGCATGCTAGTCCTCCACTGATTGGCTATAAGTATAGGGCTGTACTTGAAAAACAGCAGATACCCAGTAGAAATAGCAAAGAATTGTTCCACTTTATTTCACTTATCTGATCACTTTTTATTTTTGTTCAGTCACTATGCACAAGTAAGTTGAGGCAAGAAAGACTAGTAAAACCCATAAGAATACTATAGCATCAGTGAAGCAAGGCATCTTTGAGAATTCAAAAATAAAAATTAAATTCAGTCTCACAGTAACTATATTTAATTGGAAGTCCCATTAAAATCAATGGAACTTATTCCCAAGTATATGTAGTGGATAGGATTATACATCTATATGAATTTCTTAAATAATTCTGCAGCACCTAAACTAACCTACTGGTCACAAGCTCAGTAGTGGTTGCCACTTCGTTGCCAGTATAATCCAGTTGGCTTTTGTTCAAGGAAGGAGGTGTAAACCATCTTTTCTTTCCTACAACAGAATGTTTTATGCAAGTCCTGTGCTTGATTATGAAAAGAATCAATGAAACTTAAAAAGAGCTAGCCTTTGACTGCATAATGCCCAACATTAACCGCAAAACAAAAGACTCCCTTGAATCTTGCAGTTGGATAACAGAATCTCCTGATATTGAAGTATTTTATTTATTTATTAGATTTACATCCTACTTTTTTTCTTACAAAGCACTCAAAGTGGCTCAGTTAATTCTCCACATCCTGCTCTCGATCTTATCCCAAGAACAACCCTATGAGGTAGGCTGAGAGTCTGTGACTGGCCCAAAGTCACCCAATTGCTACATGGCTGAGCAGGGCCTAGAACACAGATCGCTTTAGTCCAAGTCCCAGTATTGGTCATTAGCTACATAACTGCACGATATTAATAATTTTGCAGTGGGAAATCTAGCAGAAAATGAGCCCACCCCCATTGTCGTCAGTATTAATAGATGAAAACTGCAATCTTACATGAACTTGTAGTAAGTCACATGGAATTAATTGGAAAACTCCTCTGGGATGCATGGAATTTCATTGTAAACATGTTTTTGTTAAACTTTCTCTTGGCAGCTTTTTTATTTAATAGCTTTAATAAAATGCAATCATGTATATAACCACATTTAATATCTAAAGTTTAATGTGTATTTCAGTAAAGAATGTCAAGCTGTGACATTATTATGCCTGTGTGTAGCAGTGGGATTCATTTTAGATAACTATTTATACTTTGCTCTTTTCTATAGATAAAACAATATTTTGTGCAATTTAATAATTATGAAAGTGTTTCTGCTGCTGCTGTTTCTTCATAAGCCCTGTTAAAATAAACAAAGGTTGTTCAGCTGAGGTGCCTATGCTACTTTATCTAAGGAGGTGTCGCATCCCTAAGCCCTTCCTGTTCTACATCTTGCTGTCCTTTATCTGCTACAGATTCAGTGGCCTCTCTCTGTCACTGGGAAGTTCAACTCCAGAAATAGACACTTTCGTCTTATCAGTCGGAGCAAAGCCAGGCATAAGCTCCTGCTTCTTCAAGCCTTTTCTGGATTCTTTCACCTCCTGCGCACTGTGCTAGCTTTGTTTTGAGCACTGCTGTGCTACTTATTGTGCCTCCCCTAGTGACAGAAATGCACTATTGCATGCCTGAAATAAAAATCTGACAAAAATATGCTTGCATAATTGCATTCTTCCCTTTTATTAGCATTTCTGCATCAACACCTACTGAGTAAGACATGCTGGGGCAACTTCGAAGAAGAGCCTCCGCCAGAGAACAACAGCCATGACAGCTGTTGAACCACTCTTTCCCACTGCTTTATTTCCTCCTTTTATTACTTTATGCATTTTTAATCACTCAGACAGCCCCACACAGCACGCCAAGAGCAAAACCTCTGGTGTCTGTAGAGTCAACTGCAGTCAATACACTGGAGTCATTTAGGCATTCATTACACCAGTCATCAGTTGATGAATTTTCATTGCCTGTCTTCTTTGCTGTCTCAATCAGGAAACCTTTGAGACACACTTATTACTTATAACTGCCACTTTTCTTTCATGATAGAAAAGAGTTCATCATATAGTTAAGTTTCTCAAATGGCCACAGGTACATAGGATGCAGCCTTATAGTATCAGAGCTTTGGTCCATCTGGTCCAATATTATTAATACTGACTGGCCACAGTTCCCCAGGATTCAAGTGGCAGCTCTTTCAGCTGGACCTGGAGATGCTGGAAACTGAACCTGGGAAACTGAATGTGGTACAACACATTGTGACATCTAACATCAAAGATGCCAGGTATTAAGAATAACAGCTGTAGCTTGCTGCATTCTGTTAATGGATTGGATTCAGATTTAGCCATACTTAGAATAAACCACCGAGATCACTTGGACTTAAGTTAATCATGATCACACCACTCCAGCTGATACGTGAATTAAGAGGGCCTACTCTAAGCATGACTAAGACTGAATCCAGCCCAACAGTAATAAAGGTATTCAATGGAATGCAGGCAGTTCAATCTTTACTAGCATTTCTATCAAGGGCCTCCTGCCTAATAAATAAGTTCTGTAAACCTGAGGTATGATCATTAATTCAAAGTAAAAAGCAAAACTATTAGGCAGATAACATGCCAATTTTGCATATAAATAAGAAATGCACAACACAAATGCAAACAAACACCAATGTACCAGGCTTGGATTTAACAAGCAAATATTTATATCCTGTGCCTATTATTTAAAAGTCCTTTACCCCCCCCCCCGCACACACACACACTTTCATTATACAATCCACAGTAGAATGCAATGTAGGTTATATAAAACCATGACAATGCAAAAAGCAACCAATTTTATATCCACAAGAAAAAAGGATCTTCAAACAAGTCTGAAGTGATTCCAGTGATGGTACAGGCATGATTGTGGTGAGCTCTCCTGAGGCAGCCAGCCCATCCCCATCAGCAGTATCATGATTTTAGTGTCAGAGTGATGGCTCAAATATAAGCTTTAATATTCAGGTCTATTTTTTGAAACCAAAATCATGGGATATATTTTGAATACATTTATGTTTTAGAAGATACAAAACTGAATTAGTCAGTCTGTCACTGTCATTTAAGAAAATAAAATTATCTGATGGGCATGGCAGTTGGAACAAATCCTAAAGGAAATCTGTATTTTTATAATTTGTTTGTTTATTAGGAAATGCCATTTCCCATAATTGCAGGACAGTGTTTTTTATTAAATGTAGTGTTTCTTCCTTGGTCTTCGTAAGTATTTTTAGAATGCATTTCCTGAAGATATACTTTAAATAATTCAAATGTGCCCTAAGAATAGTTAGGACAAGCTTGAGAACCAATCTTAAAAATAACTCCTACAGCATAACCTCCATTCATTTCAAAGGCCATGTTTCCTTTGCAATGAATTACGGTTTTACAGCAGGCATTTTCAACCCTATCGTCTTCAGTCTGAAGATTGGCACACTTGCTTTAAGGAGCACTTTTCTGGGATTGCTACTGCCATGCAGGGGATTAAGGACCACATGACTATTCTCTTCAATTTTTTTTAGTCAGAGGACAGTATATGGTACCAGATAGTATGTTGGAGGTGGAAATACATGCACACCTATCCATGCATTCAAACAAATAAATGTGGACAGTATGAATTGCTAGAGAGTTAAAGCTTTTTGCTGTCAGGGCCTGGAACATGGGTAGCAGGAAACAAGGAAGATGCACCAGGAGCCTAAGACAGCACAAAAGTTCAAAATCTAATAGCAACTCCAAGTTGTAGTCACAAAGCAGGTCAAGGTCAGAAATCAGGAGTACATTGAGGAGCAAGACCCAAAAGGTGCAGTCCCAAAAGAGGTCATGAATCAGCAAGATGTTAGAACAAGGAGTATCTTAGAACAGTTTAACCAGGCTGGGGCTGGGGCCCTGTGTTGCTGGGCCAGTTTTTGGAGCAAATATGGCTCTTGACCCAGGCTCCCAGGTTATGCTCATCCAGTCCTTGCAGCTACAGCAGAATCAGGTAATGATCCTGGAACAACCAGGGTAATTATTCTGGAGTTTGACCAGGAGACAGAGCCCTGGAGATTGACTGACTGAATGACTGATTCAACTTATATGCCCTCCCATTAGCCATAGGCTCTCTGGGTGGCTCACACAATAAAATCCATAAGGTACAATATAATATACAGCACAATAAAATCTACAATTCACAATAAAACCAGTAACAATAAAAATCCATAATAAAACTACAAAATTGAGTAAAACAAAAAGATGACAAAACAACGAATAAAATAAATATCCTATGGAGATGACTAGATTCTGACAACTGCCTAGCCCAAGCAGCCCCAGTCAGGATTCCTCTACAGCGATTCCTTCCGCTTTTGGGTTGGTGATCACGATAAATGTCCCTGTGCTGGAACAGCCTTTCTCCTGTAGCCCAAATGATCTGTTAAGCTGCAGGGGAAAGTGCATTGTGTTCCCCCCAGGCTGGTGGGCCACACTGTGAGTGGCTAAGCATCACATACGACCTGTAGGCTGTAAGCTACACAGACATCTTAAAACTTTAAAACATATTATTACTAGGGCCACCCATAAGCATACATTCTCTGAGCTGCCCACAGCAGCAAAGAATAAAATGCAACATGAAAATGCCAATAACTTGAAGACAACAACAGAAATATTAAGTACAGCAAAACAAAAACAAAAAAACCCCACCCTGTATATGTGTGTCCCCTCCCCAAATGAAGGTATATCTTCATGCAGCTGATTAACTGAGCTCTAGTCTACAAATAGCATATGCTATTACAATAAAAATGAAACCACAGTACATTATATCTGTCTACATATTTTCTAGATAAGTCATTGAATCTCCTCTTTAAAATTGATGCCTTTTAATTTAAAATTGCCTTTTAATGTAAAATACATTGAACTGGTTTCACTAAT